GTCACAGAGGCATGAAAGCCACTGGTTTAGCGATCCTCCCCAGGTGGACTCTGAAGTTTAAGGAGGCATGTATGTACAGGAAGGAAATCTCTGTTTGCTCTTGCTGTTCCCTGTGCCTAGAGCTCCCCTCGCCACCATGTCCACCATTTAAAAATCTTCCCCAGCCTCCAAGGGCTGAAATGCCATTCCCACTATGGAACCTCTGTCTGTTCTCTGGCCCAGCTGTCACTTGGTTTGCCTCTTCTTCGTTGCACTCATCACACTGTCTTATGTAATGATTATCTGTATACAATAGTATGTGTTTTATCCTCCCTATAAATTAAGCTCATCAAGTGTAGTATACAGAACTTCTTTGCCCTGGGATATAACTTGTCCTATGCTTTGCTTACACCAAGCACTTAATTGAATAAACTGAGTTAGGAGTCTGAGACACTAGTTATAGGTTATTAGGCAGTGAAGATGTTGGTGTCAAATATCAGACCCCAAGGAAAGGCTGGAGAAGAACACAGTTCATGAGGTTTAGACTTGATCATGAAAAGCAACAACAATAATGATGGTAGCTACATTATTTTTCAGAGCTTCCTACGTGCCTGGTACTTCAAGTACTTTATGTATTTTAACCAATATTCCCCCCCAAAGTCCTGGGATGAATGGATAGGTATCGCCAGTTTTACATACAAGGAAACCAAGCAGTTAAGGACTTTTGCAAAATCTAGCTTCTAAGCTGTCCTTCCTAAGAAGATTCTGTTCAGAGGCCATACCATTCACTGGGACACGGACCCCTAATTTTCTTATCAACATTTGGATCCATGTCATAGTTCAGAATAAACTAAGGGAGAAACCAAGGATGAGCAGCCTGAGCTTCTCTTCCACTTTGTCACAGCTTCTGGAATCTAAAGAAATCTGAGAAGAACTTGGGAAGTCTGAACTGAAAAACAAGCAAACACTGCTCCTTCTTTCTCTCTTACACACACATATGAAACACAGACACACACGTGTGTGCACACACCTCGCATGTATTAACAATTATTCATCCTCAAGCTAAGGATCCTCTCTCCCTGGAGACCTTTTTGACTCCCAGGTGAGGCATGCTGTCTTGTGGAAACATATTTCTGTCCTTCAGAATCTCTGTTTCAGTGTAATTCATTTAGTGTGATTATTTGATTGATAATCTGCCTTGACTTCTGGAATGTAAGCTCCATAACTGTAAGGACCACTCCTGCTTTTGCCCATCATATTTTTTTCTAGCACTTAACTTGCTGCCTGGTAGATCTTAGGTGTTTAATAAACACTGAGTTAATAAATCAACGCCTAGACAAATTTCAACGGTTGCTTCATACTTCAGGAGGAAACCTGGCACAACAACAGAGAGAATACTGGCGGGGATTCAGGGTTACAGGGATAGAAGCAACTGGAAGAGAACATGCATTCATTCTCACTACTACCTCTATGAGTCTTGCTGCATCTGTAACCACATACCTTGTCTTTCCTTCTGTGACAATGCTTGGGCTGTCTGGAGTCTTATCTAAAGTCAACCCCTTCACTTTGTATTGGATCTCACCTCCTCTCCCCTACTTTGAGTACTCTTTCTCTCCCTCATGCATTATCAAATTTTCACTCCCTACTGCAGCACTGACCAATAGAATTTCTATGATGATGGGAATATTCTCTGTGGTGTCCAATATGGTAGCTACTAGCCACTTGCAGCTATGGAGTACTTGAAATGTGGTTCATCGCTGAGGAAGTGAATTTTTAAATTTTTATTTAATTTAAATGAACTTAAATAGTTACATGTGGATAATTTCCATCAACATCAAACATGCTGTTATTTCTTCCATCTTAAAAAATGTTAACCCCCCTTGATTTCACACCCCTTTCTAGATACGACCCCCTTTCTCTGCTCCCTCCTTCACAGTATATTCTACAAAAGGTTTGTTATACTTCCTGTCTCCACTTCCCCTTTTCTCATGTACTGTTAAACTCACTTAAATCCATCTTTTGACTCAACATCACCGTGGACCGCTGAGCTGCCAAATCCTATGGTCAATGTTGACTGTTCATTTTACCAGAATTAAAGCAGCGTTTTATGTGGTTACGTCCCTCCTCTCTCAGTCATTTGGAACCCCACCACTTTCTCTTTGTTCTCCTCCCATCTCTGGCTGTTGTTTCTCAGTTTGTAGCACTGGATTTTCATCTCCACATCCTTTCAATATTGAAATGTCACAAGCCTCAGTCCTTGGGCCTCATCTCTTGTCTATATTTTCTTTCTAGACACTTTCATCCATTTCCATGGCTTCAAATATTAAGTATCGGCTGTAGATTCCCAAATGTATCTTCAACTCTGAACTTCAGGCTTGTATGACAACCTCCGACTCAAACTTGACATGCGGCTGTCTAACAGGCACCTCAAGCTTAATGTTCCAGGAGATCACTTTTGATTTCACCTTTTTTTTTTTTTTTTTTTTTTTTTTAGCTGAGCCATCCTGCCACCTGTTGGCAGCTCACGGCTGCTCAGCTCGGGCTGACTCGAACCACTGTTGCTCAGAGCTCAAACTCTTGAGCGAGCTCTTAACCAACTGAGCCACTCAGCCGGCCCTAATTTCACCTTTTAAATCTGTTTTCCTTCAGTTTTCCCTGCTTCAATCAGTGCTGTCTCTATTTTTCAAATTGCCCAGGCCCCAAATTTTGGAGTCATTCTTGACTTACACTTGCTTCACAGCCAATCCATCAGTAAATCCTCTTGGTTCTGCAATTTAAGTAGAGTGTAAATTTGACCCTTTCTCATGATCTCACCTGCCATCCCCCTATTCTGAGCCACAAACATCTCTACTCTGGATTATTGTAAGAGCTTCCTCATTGGTCTCCCTACTTTTATTTACCTTTATTCCCTTCAAACCACCTCTTCAAACATCCGCCAGTGATCCTTTAAAAATGCAAATGGAGTCATATCATAACAACATACCAAACTTTCCAATGGCTTCCCGTTCTGAATCTCGTTCTGAATAAAAATCAGAGTCCTTACAGCAAGCAGCATGTACCAACCTGCAAGGTCTGGCCCCAACTACCTCAGACCTCCGTGCCCACTGTCTCCCCTTCCTGCCTTGCTCTTTCCTCACATCCACACGGTTCGCCTTACTCCTCTCTGAAGGGGCTAAACAGGCCACCTTTAATCTGTCACGTCCTGCGTGGCAAGGGCAAATGGGACACGAGAGGGTCGACGCAGATTGAATAAAGAGACAGAGACAGAAGTAAGATTTAAGTGCGAGACCAAGGGACTCAGCCTTCAGAGAGTTAGACTGAGCCACCGAATCGGGTCAATGCATGGTTTTTATTGATAATTTTTAAGGAAGTAAACTGCTATGTTGTGAGTCATTAATCATGTAATCTTGTGTGCCTTAAGGCCTTTTCCATTGACCTTTTCCCCATTGTACTTCAGCAAAGGCTATGCCTTCGTACTCCACCACAGTGCCCCAGGACATAATTACATGTCCTCCCAGGGGAGACAACTGATATAATTCCATCAGGTCCCAGTCAAACCGGAGACGCCCCCGAGAGAGAGCTTTACAGATATCATTCCATCCGGCCTCAGTTTTCAGAGACACTCTCTCGACTAATGGGTCAGAGGTTAATGCAGAGGGGGTGGTCTAAGAATCGGCTGTAGGGTAACATTAATCCCTTTACCTTGATTTACCTTATATCAGCTTTTAGCTGTCTTCCTGGAACTAAACTTTGGAATGCTGAGAGCCCAGGCTTGGTCTGTTTTGTTCTCTGCTGTACCCTCATCTCAAATAGTGCCTGGCCATGAATATGTGTTTAATAAATCAGTGTTGAATGAGCGAATAAATTATATTCTTAATGCCTAATAGTATAACCCAGAGTAAATCATTTAACTTTTTGGGGGGGATTTCCTTTTCCTTATCTGTGGAAGATGAGCTAGATAATCTCAAAATACACCTTTATTCAGTAAATACGGAATGCAACCTCCTGCGAGCCTGGCACTGAGTATGTGCTTGGGCTACAAGAAAAGGTCACACAGTCCCTGCTCTCTAGGAGCTCAATGTCCGGTGGGATAAACAACCAAACAGGAAGTTACCATGGAGGGCTTCCAGGGGAAACGTCTGAGAGTCCACCTGGGAATCGGTAAGACACTGATAGGTAAAGAGGAAGTGCTTCTTCCCACGTGTGCACAGGGAACCCTTCCAGACTGTAAACCCTGTGAAGGCAAGGGCCTCCTGTTTTATCCCCAGATTTGGCTCCAGACTCTTAATCATACCATTACCTCCGATGCTGGTGCCATTTACTGTAGGAAAGGGCAGCGTGGGAGTTGGGGAAGATAAGTTCAGTTCCGGCTTTAAAACTATAAGACCTTTGTTACGATCCATCTATTTCTTAAAACTAAGTACTGCTTATCGACTTAGGGTTGGACCTATACATATAACTACACTGTCCCCTGGCTCCAATAACACAAATCACATTATAGTTATCCTTGGAGGCTCCTAGCGCAGTGCATAGTTCCTCAACGTTTCTTCTGTCCCACATTTCTGAGCGCCATGGTACGTTCCTATCAGCGCGGCAACTTCGGCGCAGAGCAGGAACTGCTGAACGCCAGCAGCAACAGCAAGCACTCCGCAGAGAACGGCTCCGCACTCCGGGATCTTCATAGTCGGCCCTTCTCAGGAGTTCCCGGGGGTTCTTGCTGGTTGGCCCCCCGCAAGCCCCTGCGCTAACCTGGGAGGAGTCGACCTCTTCCGACTCTACCAACTGAAAAGCTCAGGGGGCGGAGTGCTTTAAAATGCTGAGATGCAGGACCTAAGACGGAAAGAAGCCTCCTTAAATAATGAATCGAGCCAGGTTGTCTTACAAACGGGGTATGGGGCTCAGATGTCCTCAGTGAAACAGGTTTTAACATCTTCCAAGCTAAAACAACCCTGGCCTCCTCCTACATCTGGCGCGCTCGGCCTTTGGTCTCTCCCGCGCCGGGCGACCCCGCGGTCACGTGCTCCCCCTGTCCTTCTAGCCAAACGTGCAGCCTGCAGTGGGGACAACCGAGCCATGGCAGCCCTGCTGAGATCGGCTCGTTGGTTCCTCCGTGCCGGGGCGGCCCCGCGATTCCCGATTTCCCTGCGCCTCCTCGCTGGCGGCCCGGGCCGGCCGCACGCTGCCCTCCGTCAGCCCGCCGCTCGTGCTGGGCCTGTCGCCGGGTGAGTGCCCAGGCACTTCCCCAGCTCGCCTCCAGCGTGGGCGTCCCCTGGGGTTGCTGACGCTGCCGGGGGACGGGTCCCTCTTGTGCCCTTTCCATGCCATTTTTGCCGTTGCAGGGCCAAGCGTCCCGGGGGCTTGGACTAAGCACCCCACTGGGGGATTTTAGGTGACTGGGTTGTCTTCAGAAGGTCATGGCCGCAGGCATGGCTTGCTTCCGGCTTCGGTCCTGCCCTCGGGCTACTTACGGCCTGTGAGGCTGCCGCGAGGGTCAGGGGTTATTTCTCTCCTTAGGATGAATCGGCTTGGGTGCTGTCCACGTGCAAGCACTATTGGTGGTCAGTAACCATCTAGGACTTGGATTTCGAGATTTTCATTGGGGAGGGGAGGGGAGGATAGGTTGGGAATTTTGGGTGAACTGGGGATAGCTTGGAGATGGACGTTTATGATCAGTTTGGGCTTTTGTCTGACTTATCCTGAAAGGAGTTTTCCTCTCAGAATTCACGAGGGTATGATATGGGTTGGGAATTGCCACAGTAAGCTCTTAGTGTCAGGAGTGAATAAGTGCAAAGCACTCCGTGGGGGGATCTGCGGATGTGAAGGCAAGTTAAATTCCCAGTGGGTGTCAAACGTGTGAATAAATGCCCTCATGGATTGAGATTTATCAGGAGATTGGTTTGGTATGTACTTTGGTGGGCGAGGGGATAGGGAAACTTGATGAAATTGTTAATTTGCATCGTATTCTGAGAAGGGGAGATGGGCGCCGAGGTTTTAGAATTGTAGAAAAACTGATTTTGAAAGACTGATGTTTAAAGTAAAGGTATTTTGGGAGACAGCATAAAGACTAAGAGCTAAGGATCTGGAATAGGCCAGGGCTGGACTGCAGGCCTATTTGCATAATGCTATGGGACAAATTACCTGACATCTCCAGGCCTCAGTTAACTTCGTTATAAGATGGGAGTAGTAATAATGTTGGTAGTATTGTATGTAAAGCATTTAAAGTGAGGCCTGGTACCTAGCAAGTGCTTTATTAGTTATTATAATAGTAATAACTGATTACATGGGTCTTTGTGGATCAGCCTGGAAACCTATTCTCTGCATAAAATTATGTGGAGGAAATATTTTATGACTTCTTAACAACTTAGTTATAAAAATTTGGAATGTAGGCTACTTGTAACCTGGAACCTGCCCAGGTTTTCTCATTAGGCCTCAGTAGTTAACCTTCAGAAGTTTCGCCTCTGCTTTTGCAGAAGTACGTTTCTTGGCTTTTGAAGAGTTTCTTGTGAAAAAGTCATGCTAACTACTCTTATGTTTCTAGTCCTTAACATCCCTGTGAGGCCGGAGGAGGGTCATTGTTATGGTTCATGTCCGTTGTTCATGTTCACATTCGAGGGAAACAACAGAGAGAACACAATCTAGTAGAAAAGGGCTGGGTGTTCCTCACACCTGGGCTCCACTTACTTGGCTGCTTAATCTTACCTAACCTCTTTGGTCCTCAGAGGTAACAGGCCTTCCCCCTTTGTCAAGTTGATTTCTTATTCGGGACTCAAATGCTCTGTCTTCAGAGAAGCCTTACCTTAACACCCAATCTAAAAAACTACCCTATTTTAGTTTTATCATGGCATGTTTCACTTGTCTGATAATGTTTATTTTTTCTGTTTTCTTAGTAGAAAATGAGTTGCATGAGAGCAGAACTTTGTCTTGTTCATCACTATGCGCTCAGCTCATAGCAAGTAATAAAAGAAGTATTTGTTCCTTTTTTCTGCTGCAGTATGAACACTTTTTTTCTATACAGTCGCCTATCCCTCAGCCTGTAAGCATGCCCAGATCTTTCCCACCTGTAAAGCAAAGCCTTCCCTGGGACTCGGGACTTTCTCTACATGTTTCTCAGTCTCTCTTCCTTGTCTGTGCTCCTATCTCCTTCATTTCAGCACTCCACATTCACCCTTCTACCCACTGCAGTCACCCCTGCGAAAGCCATCATTGTCTTGTTTACTCATCGTTATTGTATGTCAGTTTTTTTGTATTAACTATATTAATTTTTGTTGTATATTTATTGTGTATTTTTAAATTATAAAATTTGTGCTTTGAGGAACAATTGCAAAATACAGGGAAAAGCAATAAACTAAAACTCACTCTTAATTCTATCACCCAGAGAGCACTCCGGATCACTTACAGTTAGACTCTGGTAGCTCCCAGTAGCGCCAGAATAAGGTGCTTCGTGACCTGGGGATGCCTCTGGAGCCTCGCCTTTTACGAGTTCCTTCCCGTGGCATCCTGTATTCTAACCATACCAAACTACCACTTCAAAGTCAGCAGGGCTGCTGAAACGGCAGTGAGCACGAGAATTTCTTGAGGATCTTGTTAAAAAAACGTAGATTTTGATTTTGTAGGTCTAGGTAGGGGGCTGAGATTCTGCATTCCTAACAAGCCCCCAGGTGATAAAGGTGCTGCTAATCTGTGGACCAGCAAGGCTCTGATGGGCCATGGTGTACATCTCCCTGCCTTTGAATAGGGTGTTCACTTTTGGGGTGCCTCTCCTTCCCCCTCTCAGGTGTTCTTCTCTGTTAAATCTTTCTTGATGGCTTCTCCTTTCTGACCGCTCCTTTCTTCTGCTTTCTCTCACAGCCTGAATCACTAAAGCATCCATTAACATGATTGCATGTGTATCCACCAGTCTCCAGACCTGGCTGTAAGTCCCTTGAAGGCAGGATCTTGCTCTTATGCTTTTCGCCTGAGTTGAGTGTATCAATGAAAATCTTTGACTTTGAGGAAGGAACATTATGAGATGCAAAGAAGTTTGAAAAGAATACTTACGTGTAATCCATTCATGTAGAGCAGTTCATCTCCACAAATCACCCTGATCTTGACTGATTTCCAGGAATGTCCTGTCTGAGAAGGACAGATGAGTATTATTGAGTGAAATTATTACAATTATTAATGTTTTCAAAATTGAAGCACCAAAAAGTATATACTTTTCTTTTATATTCTTGGTCTTGCTCTCCATTTTCCTATTTCAGCACTTTTTTTAAACAAAAGAGTTGCTCTTAAAAACCAGCTCTTACCCTTCCTCTATGGCAGCGGTTCTCAACCTTCCTAATGCCACGACCCCTTAATACAGTTCCTCATGTTGTGGTAACCCCCAACCATAAAATTATTTTCGTTGCTACTCTATAACTGTAATTTTGCTACTGTTATGAATCATAATGTAAACACCTTTTTGTTTTCCGATGGTCTTAGGCGACCCCTGTGAAAGAGTCATTCAACCCCCAAAGGGGTCGCGTCCCACAGGTTGAGAACCACTGCTCTATGGGGAGGTGGGAGAGCACTTTGCTTTCTTACACTTTTTTCCTCACACTTTTGGATCTAACACTGCTTATATATTTCGCATGAGTTTTGTTTAGAATATTACTTGTGTGCTTCAGAGGAAAGATAAGCTTTGAGCTAAATCAGTTTGGAAGTGGATTTAGATTGAAGATTGACTTAAAGGTGAAGATCATATTGCCTTATGACAAAGTGATGTGACTCTAACATTGGAAGGAAGGAAAACTTCCTCTTCTTTACCTCTCAGGGGAAAACAATCTTCTCAACAAATACTAAGTCTCTGGGTCCTCGGGGGTTGCGATTGGGCCTCTGTTCCCTGTGTGTATAAGTTTATCAATTACAGAGGCTATGACAGGCACACATATGTTCAGCTGTTACATATGTGCTCTCCATAGGAGAGGAATGTACTGTGTATGTCAGAGAGAAGAGCAGTCACACGTGTTTGGTGGTAGGGGACCACTTGAGTTTTAAGAGGACACATGGTAATGAGTACCCAGAGTGCTCCACTGGAAAGAGAAGAACATGACGAGACTCTGAGGCTGTACTTTCGTCCTGTGTGGCTGTGTGGGCTGGATGGGATGTGGTGGAAGTTGATACTGCAAAGGCCATTTGATTCCTGGAAGCTACCAAGGTCGATTAGAAAGTTGGTCATTTGGCGGTTGGAAGGCATTGGAGGGTGTTGAGAGGTAGATACAGACCTTGACAAAGTTTACCTGGACTAATGGAGAGAAAGAGGCTGGAGATGGACAGACCAGTTAGGAACAACGGGGATTCTGCAGACAACGGCTAATAATAGTGCCTCAACTAAGTGGTGCGAACTGAAGAGAAGGCATTTCCTTTAGTTCTTGAGAGAGAGAGAGAACAGGAGATTGGAAAGGATGTTAGCAGAAGTAGGAACAGTAGATTTGGAGATTAGTATAAACAGTAGTACCTTTAGTTGTAGATCTTTACCACTTTAAAGTGTTTGTATGGATACATCACATGTACATTTCATCTTCTGTGGGTTAATAGTCCAAAGTAGGAACCTGAGGCTTAAAAGGGTGAAATAATTTATCCAGCATCTCCAGTTGGGATTCAACTGTAGAAACTGTGATTCCCAGTCTGAAATGTTTTGAATATGTTATTTTAGGTGTACATAATATTTTTTGAAAAGAAAGGTCATGTTACCTTATAAATTTAGGAATTAAAGATTGTCTATCACAGGTCAGTAAGCACATGACAAGATCTCAAAATGTGTACACTGGGAGGGCTCTTTAGAGTAATCTAGTCCATGCCACTCTCACTATAGATTCTGAAGAGCATCTTGCTCCATGTCACATCATAGGTCCCAACCTGGTTAACTGATTCTTCATCATTTCTTGTCATAAATGAGAGACATCACTTTGGACTGGAGGAGCCTGAGGTGGAGGGGCCTATGCATAGGGGGAAAGGAATGGCATTGGTGTTTCAAGCCAGGAGACTTATCAGAGTGTGGAAGGGTTATAAGTGGCTTTTTCACTCTAAAATTCTGTTACTTACCATAAAGCATAAAGCTGTGTTTGGGGGACAGCTTAACTGGGCGAGACTTTTTGGAGAATCAAGGTCTTGCAAAAAAGTTCAGGGAGAATGTTTATTGTGAGAGCTCTACAAAAGATGAGAAAAAAAGATCAACCAACAAATGTTTATTGAGTACATTCCA